AATGTATTCAATTATTGTCACTGCAGTGGATCAGTGGAGGCAGTCCTATGTGGAGGCCTGTGGAAGCAGCAGCAGAATATTATTTTTGGGGGTTTTCATGCAAATGAGAACCAAGTTTTACTAAAACTTGCCACATAGTAACACATAGTGCCACTTAGAAAAGTGTGAAATTAGTAATATTGCTGAATCACAAAACAGCACAGCTGTTAAACAAGGGCCTTTTCATGACATATTGTAAAAACATTATGGCATTAGTTACCCTTTTATATATTTTCCCATACACATTTAGGACAATGGACTTGCAGGATGCATCTAAAGGGTTAAAATATGGTAACAGTTTGAAAACAGTGTTTTGAAAGGAGCTGGTGCATATAAAAATTCAATCAGAGCACACTAATCAGAGACATAGACAGGTTTGAAAGACTAAGATGTCTCTTCACTGCCTCTCTGAGCAGATAGAGGGCCATCGCACTGATAAAATCACTCTGTCCCTATGGTTACTGTCATGCTCATTTGGTGCTTTAAATGCCCTAATTATTATACTTGAGCAACAACAAACAAGAATAAATCAGAGCAGTGGGCAGATGTTAGGGGAGTGTTTCTGCTGCAGTGAGTTTCTTCTGCCCCTCCTCTTGCAATGGAGGCACAAGGAAAGAGCTACCAGATGCACTTGAGACTACAAATCATTAGGAGGCTGATGATAATGAACGCAACGGTGTTAGCATTTTCAGGGGACTTTTTAGTGCTTTATGTTTTGTTACTAACTGAAATGTGCTCTTTTTTGCAGTAATACATAAACAGGCCTATATAGACCTCTGAAGTCATGTCATCATTCTGTAGACAGGGCCACATTAGGAACTCCGGGTCTCTATGAGAAAAATAAATTGTGTTTTCAAAAATTGTTCCTATTGTGCCCTACAGTTAAGAAAAATGTTCCAAAGTTGGTACATTTTATCCCATGTGCGTACTTTCTTTGAATGGGCATTATTCACCAATATCTTCCGTAGTTTTTTCTTAAATGTGTTCTTGCATAAGGTCCTAAGAAAAGCCTACATTAAGTGTTATTAAACCACAGAATTATTCACACTATTGTGTTCTTCAGTGTGTGTAGATTCTGTTTTTACCTAAGAACAAATTCCAAATAAGACAACATTGATGAATGTCAGAATCTTTGAAAACTGCGTGAGTGGGTTTTAAGAAGAAATTTCCTCCCAAGAATGGCTGGTGAATGAGGCCCATTGTCACCAAATCCTCGGAAATCTGAGATCATTTAGCAGCTGGAATAGGAATAATGAATATTGTTACATGAATATAGTAGCTTATAGTTTGTGTAGCTGGTGTTGTTATGTAATGGTGTTGATATTCAGACTTACCTACATGCAACATTATTTCAATGTGCAGGAGTGTTTGCTTGCTTATAGCATGTATATAGCAACATACATATTTCAGCTGCTAAATTACCTTATAATTCAGGGGATCCACTGACAATTTGGAAGCTAGTTGGTTACTACAGGATGCAATAGCAGCGATTTGTGAAATTTTGCCTGATATGGACATGACACAGACTATAGAATGATGCCTCGTATGAGAAGTCTGTTCTGTAGTTGCCATCTTACTCATATTACGAACTAAAAATTCCAAACCTGATACATTTTATCCAGTGTACACTGCCCCCCGAGTGTCACTGGATCATCTAAAATACGAGGCTGTCTACCAGTCAAACTATGAATAATGCTACTTAAATGCTGCAAGATAAAACTTTGTGCAACAAAAATGACATCACATGAAATTACATTTCTGTTTAAACTTCAATACTGTTATATACCAACACCAGCTACCCAGACTGTAACCTCAAACTGCCAAAACCTCTTAACTACCACACTGGGCAATGCTTACTGGTTTGTGTGCAGTATTTTGTTAAGTGATGTCGTTCAGTGTGCAGCAGTGCTTGCATGTAGCAGTATTCATATTTCGGCTCCTAAATGACCTTATAATTCAGGGGATCCACTGACAATTTGGAAGCTACTTGGAGAATCTGCGATGTTTGGAGGAAAAATGTATGTAGGACAAACTCTATTGGCTTTGGAACATTTTTGTTTACCACAGGGCGCAACAGCAGTGATCAAAACGCATTCATTTTTCTCATAGAGAAAACCAGCCTAAACCCGAACTTCCTAATATGGGAATGACACGATTACAGAATGACAACACAACCTCAGAGGTGTACGGAGTTTGTAAAATGTTTGGAAAGTGGATAGTAATATTTGATTTGGGAATATGTAGTGATTTAGAGAAAGAGAGAGAGAAAGAGACAGAGAGAGAGAGACAGACATAGAGACTAAACAGGCAGGGAGCATAGACAAGGAAGACAATAACAACATAATGATTTTGAAAAACACTAAGAGACTTTAAGAGAGAATGAAAAACAGAAAAAAACACTGAGACTGAAACAAAACACTGATGATAAGTCAGACTGAGCGAATGACAATGACAGGACTCATAATTGGCAGTCTGCCAGCACTACTGGGTAACATAATGAATCTCAGCCTGATGTCTATGCTTTAAGTAGAGCTCCGAACACTACACCAATACTGATGAGGGCTGGAGAGAGGCTATCAGCCACGGCCTGTTCGACCGAGAAAACCTACCTTAATACGTGAGGAGAAGATGGTAGAGAAGATGCGGACTGAGAACTGACTGTGAAAAAAAATGCTTTATGTATGTACCAGCTCAAAGTGCTGAAACTCCAAAAAGGCTTTGATGTGAGCGCTGGGTGAGAAAATGGCTGGGGCAGTAACAACTCAGAGATACCAGATGCGGCAACTCAATAGATTTAGAAGGTAATGAGGTGGAAAATGCAGCAGAAGCAGCCGTAACTTTGTTCTGCTGCTGAACTGAAGCTCGCTGCCTCCGTCCTGAGCCCTTTGAGGGAAGAGGGAAGTCTCTGACTAATGAAGGAGCAGTTCATTACAGGACGGGGGCATGAAAAAAAGGGGATGCCTTTGAAGAGGAAGTCGAGCCAAAAGGAAGCGCAGGCCGAAAATTTACATTCATTCTCCCCAAAGCCTGCAGAAGCAAAGAGACTGGACAGGAAATTTAGACTGGCCTAGATCAAGGGAGAGCAGACTGGCTGAATGGACTATGTTAGAGGTGCATACACAGAGACATGCTAAAACATGCACATGACATTTCACAATTGTGTGTGAGATGAGTGGATGATATGAGATGACTACTTGTACTCCGGCATGAATGAAGAAGGAGCACAGATCTTTTGATAGCCTGGTACCTGTACACTTACATCATTCCTACTAACAATTTTCCTTTAAAGTCATACTGTAATCAGCCATTTTTGTCAGGTTATTGTTCAACTATACAGGGCATAACAAGGAGCCTGAACACAACATTACCACTGTGAAGTTACATTTACATTTAGCAGACGTTCTTATCCAATATCTAAGTAGTCAGCAAGCCGCATGTTCAGTGAGATTTGACTTCATCTGGATGTTGACCACATTTTGTGTATTTACTACTTCTATGCTAAAAACTCAACCCCGTTACTTTGTTAAGTCATTGTCAGCAAAGAAACCCTGTAAAAAAATAGTATATTGTTCCTGAGGGGTGTGCATGCATTTTTGTATGTTTAAATGCATGCTTAGCTTCAAGACTGAAAACTGATTTTAAAAAGGGCTAAATGGCACCCCAATTGTGTAATCGGCCAAAAACACAGAGGTAAACCACAGAAGATTGAAGAGACACAATGACAGTGATTTAGAAAAGTGTGAATGAGTGCAATACGGTGTGAACTTAAGTCATTGTTCTTCAGTTCCAGCCCTGGGGTGGTGTCCAGCACAAATTGGTGGTTTTCCTGTGTAAGCACCCCTATTAACAGACTAATTGAACCAGGTGTGGTTAAGCAGGGTACACTCACCAAACTGTGCAGGACATGGAATTGAAGAGCCCTGACTTAGACAGAGTTCAGGGGTAAGTTCACTCCCTCACTTAAGGGCAAGGACAATAAAGCAGCAAGACTGAGCCTCTGAAAATAAAATATAAAGGAAACAATCCAAATTGCTCTAGCCTCTCATCAGCATCCAAAACAGAAAGGGCACATTCCTACAGGATGCAGAGATGTAAAGGCTTTCTGGAAGAGAAAAATAAAGACAGTCCATGCAATTATTTTGCAATATATTACAAAATTCTTAATATTTTAAGAAATAAGGGAATTCAAAGTGTGAATAACACCTTTTCCGTGACTGTGATGGATGCAGTTTCATAAGGAACACATAACAGCACCTATACTAGTCCAGCCTTTGTTCATAATGCAATTTCACACTCATTTGGTGTAACAGAGTAACAATAATATAGTGCTACAGTAAACCATTTAGTGGTGATACATAAACTCAATGCCACAAAAAGAGTTAAAGAAAGTGGAAAATGGACTCAAAACTCAAACCTCCCCAAAAGCACTGATAGCAGATGTAGGAAAGGTTTGACGGTGCATATAAAGGAAAATGCCGGAAGGAATGGTAATGTGTAAAAAACAACAATTAACATTAAACTATTTCAATTACTTCTATTGTAATTTGTCAAAATATCTTACATAAGCTCAGAAGTGCCAACATTCAGTATACCTCATGTCTTCATATTTAATAAAACAGCAAAAACATAATTGTGGCTTGACTGCCCTGGAAGCTTATGGAAACTGTATACAATACAAACAGCATGTTCAACATCCATGCATTTAGCTATATGCACTCCTTATAAAATGCTACAAAATAATCATTCATTCTAATGATTCTTATTCCTTTCATCTTAATCTGACCAGCCCAGGTGTGGGGAGACGGGCTATACCGACCCTGTGTGAGGCCGGGTTAATGCTATTTGCCCTAGCCTAAGCCTGAGAAAGCGATACACGGATAACGGATGACTTTTCAGCGCCCGCTGCCGGTCAGCAAGCAGCACTCCTCCCCCACCAAGCTACCAGCTCTAAAAGGCGGTGAAAGAGTGGAAGGCGAGGAAGACGGACCGCTGCCTGTAGAAGCGTCTCATGCTGCTCGCGGCGTGTGTGCAGAAACCGATAAACAACAGAGCATGAGGGACGAGGAGGGGAGCCTCCAGCAGCGCGGTGAGCGATGAATGCAGGCTGATTTCTCAGGTAAGACACGCTGGCTTCCATCTCCACTAGCGCTGTAGGTTAGCTGAGCGACTGCTTTGTGATTGCAAACTACGGACGCCTTGAACATTTCAAGCGTCTGTCGGTAGTAGCCGTGGTGAGTGTCGTCCGTGCGCTAAGGATGGGAGAATAACGAGCCGATCTTGTTTTCGGTCATTGCCAGTTAAATCCGTTATGCTTAGTGAACGTGCATTGTTCGCGTTTCCCCATCTCATCCGTAGATGGAGTTGGCTTGGATTGGCTGTAACAGCCATTGCCTGAACAATGTAGCCTCTCGCGCCCAACACAGAACCTATCTTTATAGCGTTTCTCTCCGCGAGCATCGTGGCTTTGGCTTTGGGCCACACTATAACACCAAAGCTCACACCCTTTACCCTGCACCTCCGGTCTAGTCTGTTGTGTTGTCTCCACGTTTGTTCATAGCAGAAAGCGGATGCAGAGCACTGCGAGTTGTTTCTGTGTAACTCATTCGCAGAGTCGCTCCACATGGCGAGCTGCTGCAGCTTTCTCCTCTCTGTGTTTCGTGATTGTGGATTGTGAAGCTGTTATCTGCGTTTTGATCGGTTGCTTGGCATGAATAATGACCGAATTGCTCCTGTGCGCCTTTGCCAGTGTATTTAATTGATATTTATTGATAGATTTAATTGATATTGATCCATTTAAATGAATGTACCCAAGTCGACTAAAGTGGGCTAATAGCCGTTAAGCTCTATGAGTAAACAGTGCACAGAGGTTTTGGGGTGTCTCATGCTAAATTGCTCTGTTTTAAATTTGCCTTAAAAGGTGGTCCCTCAGGGAGGTCCAGATGGCTCCACTAACCTCAAATGTGCAAAAAAAGGAAGTTTGTATGCTGCAAAAAGCACACAGCATATTTTTTTTATTAGTAACCGCACTGGCAAACAGTGCAAGTAATGTCTAGCCCAAGGTTTCCCCTCAATCACAAATTAAAAAATACTGATCTCCTGCTGATGTTCATTTAGTTTTCTTTGACTTCTCTGTTCTAAACTGTGTGGCCTATTGCTGAGACTCCTTCTGCAACCACTTAACTTGGCCTAGAGCATCATATCCAGATGGAAGGTTGGCACAGCCTAATTCTGTCTCACCAAAACACCAAAGCCCTATTCCTGCGTGCTGTAGAAACAAAGGGCTACATGCTCATGAATGCCTCTCTCTCCACCTGCAATCACAGCCTTTTCACTAGGATAGACAAGTTCAGACAGGCTTACAAGGTGAGCTTCTCTGCTCAGGCACACATAGTCAAAGTGAAGAGTTCCTCCAAACCTGCCTTTGATGTTTAGTTCTCTCCCTAGAGAACGTCTCATAAAGGGAAGGACAGGATTGTTTCAGGGCAAATGGTGGGCTATTTGTTCTGTTCTGCAGTTGTGTATTTAGGTCTAATTACTACCAGAAGTGTATTCATGCTGTGAGCTGCGGGAAGTATTGTCTGTCTTCATTCATACTGGCCAAATGGGGTCTGTGCCTGCCTGACTTTCATATCAGGTGGTTTAGTAGAAGTGCCTATAATTCGAGGAGGAGTTATTTAATAGAATTTTAATGACCTGATCACAATTCACCGGCAGCTAAACGACAGTTTGTGGACTGCCTGTGGTTGAAATGTTCTGAAATTGTAGTGCACAAATTTGTTAATAATTTAATAATTATTTTTTAAATTGTATGCATGTGGAGTCTCTACATGCATGCAAGTCTCTATGACGTTAGATGTTTTGTTCACTAGTGCTTGCTGTAGCTGTAAGAAGAAGCGATTATATGACAGAAAAAATCCACCTGATTTATCCTAACAGTGTGATCTCTCAATGACATACGAACTGAATAAAATTAGAAATTAATGTCATGCTGTAAATGTACTGTAAATGCACCACCATTTCCCATTTCTATTCAGGTTGGGTTTTTTGCCAGTGTTTTATAACCTGTCCAGCCTTGCAGCAGTAACTACAAAAGAAAGCCTCTGGGGCAGAGCTTGGATAGGTCAATTAATAGCTTTCGCTAGCGTTGTAGTCAGGACTGCTAGAGGCAAGTCTGAGTTGAGTGGGAGGGCGCAAGACACCGAGTCCGAGACAAGACAGAGACCAGATTAAGAATTTTTTTTCAGAAAATAAAAACAATTAAAAAAATTATATATAATATTTATAATATTTATTTATTTTTTATTTGTTATTATTATTTATTATGTAGGTTTATTTCATACTTACACAACCATGTAAAGAAATTGGGACACTCCATTCAATAATTAGTTGAAAAAATTTTGACATATCAGGATTATATATCACTGATGTCTGAATTTTGAAATCCACGAACATCAACCAACAAATACTCAAAAAAACAAAAAAGTTTAGCCGTCTGGAAAGATCAATTAGATCCTCAACCAACAGATCTTATTTAAAACTATACAACAGTGGTTTTCAACCTGGGGGCTGCAGCCGTGCAGTGAGCAGTGGTGGTACTGCAGTTTTTTAAACAAAAAATTGTTGCAGCACAGGCATTAAACCAAACATGTAAATATGACAAATATTATTGATTATTTGTGCACCTACATGTAGGAGTATCAAAGATGATGTCAAATTATTTGGTAAATCTGTTTACACTTTTAATGGAGTCCTGCATGAACATACAATTGACTGCCAAATAAGAACAATGTTGGTTGTTTTGATTTAGAGATGTTTGCCCTTTGTGTTTCGGGGGTTTGATTTGAGTTGAGTGAAACTATCATATGATGCTGACATCAAATGAGCCTTCCAACCAATCATAATTGGCGCAGATTTTTAATCAGCGACTCTATACCATAGCCCCTCTGTACACAGTCCAGAATTTCTGTAGTTGTCCCTGTCTCCAACTACCAGGGAGAGAAACAGCTAGCATTTTAAAAACACCTTAACTTTGGTGAAACGACTAACACATTGCTTGCAGTGCAAAAAATCAGTGCTACAGTTTCACCCAAGTGAGACTGGAGAGCAGCTTGTTTATACAGCTGTTTTTTTCCTCTTCTTCTCTCCCTCTGCTGTTGCTGAATGTCTGAGCTGCCAGATGTAATATGCAAGTAAATTAACTTTGTTAAAGTTTATTCTGCATAGTTTGTTAGGGGTCTAATTTAGCTGACAAATGCTTACATTATAATTTGTCACCTGTGATAGCCTAGCCACAATATTATATCTCAGCAAATACTGAGATATAATACTGTTCATATAAAATATAATATAAAACTGTTTGGATGATTGGCCAAATTCCTGCTCATCACTAACACACCACTGAGGTTACAGCAGTAATTAGTCACACAATCCCGGATTAACGTCTATAGTCTGATTTAAAGATTTAAAGTCTGACCTCTGCCAGAAAATAAAAGCTTAAAATGGAAAAATCCTACTATCTTGGGGTCGTTTGTTTCCATGGCTGTGCCACTGTCAACCACAATGCGATGTGTAAATAAGTTTTCCTAGTTTTACTCCATCTGAAATATTGTTTAGTGAAGTCACAAATGTTTAGGATCACTGAGATCAGTCAGGTTGCCAGCCTCTTATCTAAATAACTGATGTGGCCAATATTGTAAATTAGGTGTTATGCAGAGACAGTCGCAGTAAAAATCCAGACAGCATGCTCAAGTTTAGAGATATTGACCCAAAATAATGACACTGGAATGAGCAACATGCCGGTGAGGTTGGTGGCATGGCAGGTTTGTTAGATACACAATAACAGGAAAACTTATCCTAACAAAGATGTATTAGTGCCATTTTTCCAGAATACTAATAGAAATGATTATAAACATTCCATATGTTGAATATCGATGATGGGTATGGTTCTAAAAATTGTTAAAGAACAAAGATGATCATGAAAGAACAAATCACTTTTAACATTTCTTCATAATACTACTATATTTGATCCATCAGTATAAGAAGAATAAAGCAGCTACTGACTTCTGTACAGAAATTACTAACCTAATCAGTTGTCAAGGAGCTGAACTTTTGACTGACTTTAAGGGTACTTTAAGGGTGTTGCAAAAATCTGAGAGTCACATCCTTTTTTTTTCCAAATGGTGAAGTTCACAGTGGATACAGTAGCAATACAGAAGTGGGCAGCAGGTATAATATAACTGTGTTTGTTCACTAGCATTGTAGTTGCCCTTTAGAGCAGAGACTGACATCCTGTCCACACTTGGGGTTTTTGGTTTTGCACATCGTGGCACATTTCTCTGTCCTTCATTTCAGAAAAAGCTTGTTAGAACAATGCCAGCAAGTTGAACTGTGGGAGGTACACTTAGTTCAACACTGCTTTGATGCACTGCTAGAGAAAAGGTGTGTTTACCGTGGTCTTATGCACTGTGCTTTTGCATATTTTAGAAATGGGGCACATTTGGACATGTGCTGGAAAGCACAGAAACATACAGAAAACCTCAAGCATGAACTTTGGGATAGGCCACAAGTCAAGACCTGGGCAAGTGAATATTGAGACCGGTTAGATTTTTTAGGGAGGGGGGGGGTATTTTTTTGTGTGTTTTTTATTTTGTTTGTTTGTTTTTTGTTTTGTTTTTTTTTTCTTTTTGTTCATTTGACATTCATTATACATGATGATGTAGATAACATAATAGAAAAAAAATTGTCCGATAGTCTTGGACCAACTCTGCATTCCAACGTTTGTTATAAGGTTAAGAAAGATTTATCTGCCCCTCTTCTCGATTTTAATGTTAGGCTATGTAAAATAAATTCACTGACTGAATGCTGAATGAGGAGAGCAGGTAGCCAATCTGAATGAACTATAGAGCTAAAACTACAGTTAACCAGTTCAGCACTGGAAGAATGCTCATTGTCATCTTCTGCAGGTTTTTTCCTCTTCTATCGGCGATGCGCCATGTTGGTTTGTCAGAGAAATACGTTTGACCTGTTTCTGAACCTAGCTAACATCAGCCCAGACTATTTAACCGTAAGCTGCGCCGTCTCTGTCTTCTCAGTCACGTCCTTAACAGCTCCTGCTTG